TGGTCCCCACAGTCTACATATGCTTAAGGGTTCATGATTTTAGGCCTCAACTATAAATTCGTAGTTGTCTTAATACAAATTTAAATAAATATATTATTCTGCTAGCAGGCTAGTAAACTTCAATATAGCAAAGTTTAACTTATTATTTCACTCTTCTTGTATAATACAAATTTCATGCTTTAGATTTTATAGTCTTGGAAAATAAAGATGACTATTTTGAGATTTATTTTATATAACCCACTTTTATATTCGTTATTCGAAATTGTTTTATTTAGTGGGCCTGAATTATTTCCCACTTAACTATGTTTGGGTGATACTTACTTAGTATATCTCATGTCTTTGATTCAAATTCAAAATATTTTATCTGATACCCATTCTTATTTTTGGATTTTATAATTGGATTAAACAGCCTCATTTTAATAGTTTCATTTATTTTATTGAACTAACCTAAGTTTAATTGTGATAAAATATTCTTAATCACATATTTTCCATGCATATATTTCTGTATAATAACTAGTTATTATATAAAAACTGATCACCAGTATATTAGGATTGGCTACATTTTCATTTCTCAACACTATTAGATATCAGAAGTATAACATCATTTAAACAACGAATGAATATTTTATATTTATATAATCCCCTTATATTTATGGCCAGAAAATTTGTAATTTAATTATGAACCATATTTTATACCGTTAAAGAATTCAATATATTTTCCTGATCAATTTTTTTCTTGCAATTCTTCGTTTTTTTTAATTTTTATATGAAAAGAGAGTTATATTCATAAATAATTCTAGTCTATTTTTAAATTTAAATTTTAAAATATTATTCAGAAATTCGTTTCTTTAATAATTTTATTATAAATACATGCATAATGAGACCCTGTTTTGAAGCAAAACGTAAGTTTTGATACTTGCTTATTTTGTCGCGTGGATTTCTTTACTATTATCCTATATATGATTATTTCACTTCCCTTTTAAAATCCTTCAGATTTCCAAATATCGCATCTAAATTCAACCGTGAGTTCGACTATGAATGGCAAAAATGAAAGTTAAATTCATTTTAGCCATTATATCATAGTAGTTTTAGGCATGCTCTAAAAATATTCGAAGGGATAATATTTCGATGTAAATTCAGTCCAATAATAAGTAAATAGGATAAATAAAGAATACATTACCTACATTCTTTCTTTGTTCAGGAGGCTGGTCGCCTAGCGCTTGATGGGTTCCCTGAATTTCTGGCTTTATTTTCCAGGCTACCAGTGAGTCCAGTCTATTTGGTCAACTGCAACTGTTTCCAGACCCGGCAAGTAGCCTGCAGCCTTCACTCCTTCTACCTCCTACCGGTATGCTAGCAGCTTCACCTACCGATCATATGCTATCAAATGGGCGCTTTCAACGTCTTCTAACATCGCCTATAAACACACCTTTTGGCGTCAGCAGACTTTTTACTCCACCAATGTGCAATAAAAACTCTCATGGCCAAGACCTGAGCATCTGCAGTAGCAGCAACAAAACAACCACCACATCAATGGATCCCATCATCAACTCGAATGCAAATTATGCAAATGGCAGTGGCGCCTACAATGGCAGCAGCTGTAGCATAAGCATGGGAGGAGTTCATAACTGCACTAGTACCTTCAGTAACTATCTTGGACCAACAAGCCACAATCGCCAATTGCCAATAACGGTACCTTCTTTGCAAGCCACGCCTCCCTTGGCCAACTGCTCGTCCGGAGCTGCCCAATTTCAAGCCGGCCAGATACATCCTCACCTCCTACTTCGTGGGCTTGGCATGCCTGGACCTGGTCTAGGCCTTCATTTCGCTCGCTTTCCTCCACCGTTGCCGCCTCCGTCGGCTTCGTTGCAGCAACCCCCACCCATCTGTGATCTGTCAGACCTCATAGGAGATCCAAATCTGCTACAAGTCTCCCTATCTGGATTTGGTATGGGGCTACCCAACGCAGAGGCTCTTGCCAGTCACGAAGCTCTGCTGCGACTTACTGGACCTCTAGTGTCCGGAGAAAATTCCCTTTCAGGAGGCCCATTGTCTCAACTAACTGGAGTTGGCCTGCTTGCCACTCCAGGGGTATCCGGACCCGCAACAGGAAATCTAATGCCGCCCCACTCTACTCAACCTCCACCACATCCAACCCCTTCTCTTCCTCCTCTTAGCTTGGCTTCATCAGTGGCAGCCACGCTGTCGGCGGCTCCAGTTACCAGGGTGATACAAGCGCATCCTTCTCCTCCACATCCCGTTCCTGCTCCTTCACTTGCCTTGCCACTTGCCTATCCGCTTACACTTTCTCTCACAGCTGGGCTCGCTGGACTCGTAAACGCCATCCATTCACCTCTGGCTACCCCGATGCCTCCACTTCCACTTCCACCTCCCCTATCCCAGGCGTCAGTAGCTACTACGTCTCAGCTGTCTGGCATTACTCGACCACCACAACAGCCGACAATCCCAGGAAGTACTCTTGCTGGAGGTGAACGTTTGATTAGAGAACTGGTTATACACAACGATTTAATCGGTTGTATTATTGGTCGTGGAGGCACAACGATCAGTGAAATTCGGTCAACTTCTGGGGCTCAAATAAAAATAGCCAATGGAGAGGAGGGTAGTCGAGAGAGGAAGATAACAATAACAGGCACACCAGAAGCTATTCAGATGGCTATGATTTTGATTACAAGCAGGTCAGTTTCTAAAGACATTTCTACAATATTTTTGATCTCCTGCCTAATTTATATTCGAAAACCGGAATAATGTTACTAAAGACTGCTTTATCTTGTTTTTCGTATGTAAGTAGAGTTTCAAGACTACCAGTAAATCAGAAATATGAGATGTATTCACTCTATTTCGTTTAGGGTGATGAAGGACGGGTAGTAGAATTTTTCAACAATGATATGAGTAAAGCTAACGTGTTGGTTGAAGTTCACATTCTGCACTGTAACGGTTCGGCTCCCTCTGGGGTTGTTGATAAGACCTATGATAGGTCGAAACTGCAGTCCACCCTGGATGAGAACAACTTTTAGGAAAGCAAGTCTGTGTGAAATTCAATGGAAACGTCAACTCTACTATTATCATTGTGGAAAAATTCTACTACAAGTCCTTCATCACTTTATACGAAATAGGGTGAGTTCATCTAATATTGCTTTATCTTGGTCGACTTAAATCCACTTATCGAATCGGTATACGGAGATTTCATTGTCATATAAAGATAGCACCACAGTACATGCATTAGAATGATTTAACTGAAAGCCTTTAGATTCAAGGTATACTTATGTTTTTAGTGATACACATCATATTGTTTAAGTTTCCACTTTGCATAACAAAAATAGGATGTAATTTATTTAAACTAGTATGTAATGGGAATGGATTATTGTAAGATATGATCTGAGAGACGGTAACATATAATTTATCAGAGATATGCTCACCGCGATAAACATTTATGTTTCAAATGGAAATAAATCATTGGAAATATGGGGCAAATTCTTATTAAAACAATGATCTTCGAGACGAATTGTTTGCAAAATATGAATCCTTATACAAAAATTGGTTTTAGCCTAGGTAGTTTACTTGTCTTATATCCATCTCAATATAAATATTGTTTGTATTTTTCACCTTATATTAGTTGTTTTAATATCTAAAAGTAATATAAATAGCTGAAATTTTTTAGCTAAATAAAGAACTTAAAGTTTAAATGCCCTTCAATTTTATTTAAATAAACTAGATGGCATATAGAATTATTTTCATAATGACGAGCCTAACTAAGCTTTATTTTCTTTTATGTTGGTGTCAAATTCCCTTTTCCCCTTTTCTACCCCGGTCATCCTTATTCTCGACTTATATTCGAATTGTATCTGAGCACTTACTTTCCAGCAGTTGTATTAACGTGCTTCTTAAACGCACACACCTGAACATTAATGGTAACCCACATCCTCAGGCCCTTATATCTACATATTTGTTGGCTCCTCACAATCGTATTTTGTAAAATGTTGTAAAATTTGAAAATTTGAATACAGTCTTTGTGCATGAATCACTAGTTACTATTTTAGGCGATAGATACCATCAACAAAAATTAATAGTTGCATAAATCTGTAAGCCTTTTTTAAACATGCTATAATCTCATCAAGTATAGGC